CCCGTGCTGCCTGCGGGCCCCGCGGTGCGGAGCGCTGCCTGCCCTTCCCCGGGCGTGCTTGATGCACCCTCCGCGTAACTGGCCTGCTTATTAATCGAGATTATTAACCTAATCGAGGCTGCTCGCCTGGCTTGTTTAGTTTTTCTGCGTTGTTTATTCCACGCAGCGCGCTGGCTCGATCACGGTGTTTTGCTGTTTATCTGGGTGTCCCCGTCCCCACCCCGGCCAGAAGCCCGGGCCGGGCTGGCTGGGGCTGGGCTGCTGCTGGGCTGGTCACATGCTGGAAACGGATCAGCCGAGAGGCTGAAGCCTTGACCCGTGCTTGTGGCAATGTCTATGCCGAACAGAAGGCCTTTTCTTGAAGGTTCTTTGGTTTTTAAGAACTGTGGAATTAGCACGTCTTAATTAAGTGAAACCTCCTGTTATGATGCTTGCTAGTTTTTCTTAATGTCGCAGTGGCTGCATTCAAGGCCAGACTGGATGGGGCTTTGAGGAACCTGGTCTTGTGGGATGTGTCCCTGCCTATGCAGGGGAGGTTGGACCTAGGTGATCTTTAAAAGGTCCCTTGCAACCTAAACCGTTCTATGATCATCTATCTTGCTTTAATTCCTCTCTTCCCCACATTACCTGTAGTAATATCTGCTCAGAGAGGTTATGTCACCCAGTGCTTCCTAATTCTAGCTGTATTTCAGGGTGCAAAGAGGAATTGTAGTTGTTCTCAATTCATTAAGTAGCATGGTCAAACATTCTGTTGAAGTTCTGTCTGAGAAGGAGTGTGCTGATCTGTTGTGGTAGTGCAGAAGAGATGAGATACCCTGTTCTCATGAGATGAAGGATATTGTTCTAAGGAGGATCACTTGTCTTTGTGGGAGGTGTGAGCTGTTAGCTTTGCTTTGCGTTGGGTAGGAATGAGGGAAGATATCTTGGAGTGCCAGTCCAGAGCTTAAAATTGTACCTGGCTGCTGAAAATGGGGGATGAGGGACAGTGGCTATAGTTGTACTGGAATTTATGTCAGTGACATAAGAGGAATGCAATTTGTAAACCCTTAGGTCTGCAGCAGAAGATCATATTACTAGGCAGGTATTTCAGCAAGGGTTGCTTACGTTCAAAGACTGGGCTAATTAAAAGGAACCAAATCTGACAGAGGCCTGTTCACACTCTTCTATGGTTGGGCAAGTGTGGCATTTACAGTACTAAAATAAAAACTGATTGCTGACTGAAATAACCATTGGTGACCAGTTTCCTCACTGTAGGCAGCTGTCTGTAGGTGAAATAACTCTTGGGAACCAATCTACATTGTCTGGCTAATGTGAAGTATAAACCTAGGTCTAATCCCAAAACTTAAATTCTCCTTTCTTGTGCTACTGTCTAGAAAAATTACATATTTCACTTACTTGAGACAGGCTGCTTTCTCTTATGGCAAGGAGAAGCCCTCCATTTAAAAACAGTAAATATCCCAGTGAACCTTGATGTGGCATTTTGAAAAGCCAGCAATCTGGAGGGGAATTAGATCTGCCCTTGTCTTGTTCTGGGCTGTGGTTCATATCACTCAGGAGAAGAGCAGTTGAAACTTGGCTGGGAATCATGAGTTTCCTTATCTCTTGAAGCAAGCAAGTCATAGCATGGGACGTGAGATGCTAAGAGGGAAACTTGAGCATTCATAGTAGCTGTGTGTGTTCAGCTTAAGCGGAATGACTTTGTCCTGGCCTGTAAGGAGCTGAGATGCGTGGCACTGGGGCAAGGTCCTTGTCCAATAGGAAAGGTTTTTCCTTCCACCTGTTCTTCATTTTACTTTTTACTTAAGTAAAAGCTACTTCTGGAAATTTACATAGCTGAAAACATCTGAGCTGGATATGAAGTCAAAGCCCTAATAATTGGTGCCAACATGACAATAAGGGTTGTATGCTCTCTAGTGAAAGCGGAACATGTCTTGCCTAGCACTTGGTAGCATCTTCTTCCATCTGTGAACTATTGCTTCTTTCTTGCCTGAACTGCTGCTGCAAGGCTTTTTGACATGTCAGTAGTGTCAGCAGCTGAAATCACTTGCAACTGCAGCTTCATTATTGCTTCGAACTGTAGCTGGACAGAAGTAAGAATAATGAGGATTTTTGCAGTACCTCTATAAAGCCTGTGAGAGAGACTTTAGTTGTCACTTTTTCCACCTTTTCACATAAACATACTAATACTTGTGGCCTCTCACAGGGTTGCTCAAACGCTTGTAATACATTTAAAGACTGAAGTTCCTGAAAGCTCCCATCAGTATGATGCTGGGAGATGGATTAGTATAGGATTCCTCTGGGACTGAGTTCTTACATAAAGATGTGGTGATCTTAAAGATGTCGAGATTTTAAGAGCTTGTCTCAAGAAAATAACCTTTTTTGTTTTTTCCCCAAAAAAGCTTGATTTGGTAATGGGAAATTGCTAAGACTTGTTAATTTACTTTTAGAGCTTACCTTTACTAGTCTTTGCATTCCCCTTCTGTTCCAGGGTTCCTTGGAAATAACACAGAGTTTGGAAGATGATCCTCTACTGGATGCACCACTTATTTCTTCTCATACGTTACATTCCCAACTGAGGCCAAGGTTTCATGCTATTCCAGCAGTTCTCTTTGCCAATTTTCTGTTGCTAATACATGTAAGTTCAAAAAGCATTATTTCTTTATGAAAATTAGGTGTCCCTATTCTGAATTCTTGCTGTTCACATGGACAGAAGTCTCCTGAGACTAGCAAACACTGCTTTTCCAAACCAGTAAAGTCTTATTTGCCAATAAATTTTGATAGTGTATATGCTACATGATACTTGCTGTGTTGTCATTCTGGTTGGTTGTCAGCTCTAACATGCCATGACACACCTTATTAGGAAGAAAAGCTTTTCAAGTAGTAATTCTGTCCTGTTGGAAATGTACTTTTAAAATAATTAGTCTGGCAAAGTGCTTAGACTAGTTAGAGAGGGCTAAGAAAATTTGATGCCATGCCTCCTGGAGGCTGAACTTAATTTCACAGGGAAGACACAGGATATTTCTTATGGCAGCTAACCAAGAAGCTGAACTTGCTACAGAGGTTTTGCATGGTAGTTTGTGGGGAGAGAAAGGAATCCAAATGTTACCTACTGCTCTGACTGACTTCTAGGGGCTAAGGGTGAAAAGCACAGAGAAAGGATGGATCTTGTATGTAGCAGTATGACGGTCTTTTTGAGCCTGATAGACAGAAGTCGATAACACTCTTGCCTGGTAGCGAACTTATCCTTGATAAGCTGAAGAAGCTTATTGTTGCTTGTGAGCATGTGGAAACCAAACATGAAGAAGGAAGGTTCAAGAGCTCTGATCCTAATACCGCTAAAACTAACCTGAAGATAGTAGTTTATAAAGCCAGAGAGTGCACAATACCTGTCTGTATGTGACACTAGCTATTTTAGAGTTTCGTATGATCTCAAACAAAAAAAATGCTGTGCCTACTGTGCTGCAAAATGTGCTCTCTGCCAGAACGTTAAAAGTGCATGCTAAGGTCTCTTTATGGGCAGTTGAATAAGGCTGTTCAAACAATCTGTCCTGGCCTTCTAATTTGAGAAAAAAATGTTTTGTGAGCCTCTTTGTAACATCAATAAATGTTCCTTTGCCTGTCAAGTAGACTTAGGAAAGAATAAACTACCAAAATTCCCAATGGAAACTGAATATCCAGCCTTATTATCTTCCCCTGTCAGATGAACTCTGGTGTCATCCCATCAAGTTGGCACTTGAAGTCTGTCTTGCGAAGGTAGACACTCCTATTGGTAGTAGAGCAGTAAATGTTTTTCCACCTAGCCTTGGGGCCTTCCTATTTTCTACTGTAACTGATGGACCAAATGTTAATCACCCAGATCCTAGAAAACTGCTGCCTCTTCTATCCGCATCACTTTCCTTCTACAGTTTGAGAGAAGTGTGGGGAGGTCAAGGAAGAAAACTGCTAAGGTCTCTGTCAAAACATGCTGTCCAAGTAAAGTCTTATGCTGTTGCTGAGCCTGCTTCAATGGTCAGTTGGTCTATAAAGTAAAATGGTGAAGTATCCTTTTCTGTTGGTGAAATAACAGCATTGTAATTGCCACATGAGATGGTGCTGTCTCTCTCGCTGAAGAGATGGATAGTGAAAACAAACTTACTGGATTTCCTTCTCCACTTCTGCAAGCATACACAAACCTTGTGGAATATGGGGATACCAGGTTAGCTTTTGATGTACAGCCTGCCAAAGGGGCAGGTATCCTGCAGAAGTTAAGCCATCATAATATTACATGGTAGAGCTGTAATGCATCTCTGAAGTACTTTGTAACTTGTAACATTTCTTATCCACCCTTCTGTGCCAACAAATAGGGTTAGGCAGCAAATAGTTACTTTGGCACAGCTGCCTCGTTTCATATAATCTGGAACTCATGGGTAGGGTATGCTGGAGTGTGGTGGGGCTGGGTTTTTGAGTGGCTTTCCTCTTGCCAAGACTTGCTTTTCTGAAGGCCTTTAACTCCTATCAGGAGACTCTGGAGAGCAGTGTGAAATGTACAGGCTAGAAATAATTCCATTTTGTTAACCCTGTCTTTCCACCCCCCCTTTTCTGTGTATGCACATACACAAAACTGAAATTCTGCTCTTTATAAGAATAACTTTTGTATATGAAAAAATACCCTGTACTAGAATGAAGCAACTGTTGCTGGACTGTCCTAAAATGTAAGGAAAACATATTTATTAAATGCCACTCAACTGCCTGTTACCTCTTGTATGCACTGCTGTAGTAATTAGCAGACTTTAATGCTAGGCCATTCTCACTTGCATCAGTTTAATAATGTTCTGTACTGAAATGCATTCCTAACACCTGGATGGAGTAGAACTAAATGTGTTATTGTTTGAAAATGGCAAAATGAACAGGAAATTGACCAAAGAAATTATGGGTTAGCTGGATTATTCTTAGCTTTTTAAGAAAAGGAGGTAGTAAAGTAATAGTCTTAAACACATTTTGTTAATAACACTTCCTCTCATTTAGCTTCTTAATCTAGGTGCTTAATCCATCTCAAGATAATTTGGGGTTTAATTTGCATTTAAAGTAAAGGTTTTATGGATAATAAAGGGCACACATGCTTTTTTAAAGTTATTTTTCCTCCCACCTTCTATCCACCCTTTGGTCTAAGTCTCTTTTAGTTGTTGATTACTGTGTAAAAATTATCCCGCCTTCCTCCCTCCCTAGTTACCTAACTATTCACAACCAGAGTAAGCTAAGGGCAGTTCATATCAAGAGTAACAAAGCAGTTCTGAAAGATTAACTTCTATTAAGAAGGTTGCTTGAGAAATAATAAAAATATAAAAAATCAGCTCGGAGTGGGGGGCAGTCACCTCATATATATCCATATAATTAAGTATGGAAATTAAGCTGGCAAATGTTTTAAAATATTCCTATTCTGTAGGGTGAACCAGGATGAGAAAGTACCATCTTTTCATTTCACTGAATGAAAACAATAGAGTATTTTCTATGACAAAAACATTCTATGAAGATTATTTTTTTTTAAGCCCTGTATGTATACCTGTGTACCAAGACTGCATTCTAGTTGGCCAAAGGATTGCTCATGCTGAAAATTTGGAGAAATGTCTAAAAGACAGGATAAATATGTGTATATAATCTGTCTGACTGTAGTCTGGTCATTGTGATTTAAGTTTTGATCAAAATGGCAAAATCAGCCTAGCCTGTGTTAATAACTCACTTTGTAAGTTACTGTGGTGATGTTTCATTTTTTGTCTAATGTCATAACCTGGAGATTAATAGATTTAGTAAAGAGTTGATTTTTTCCACTTACAAAATTTCAATTTAAAGAAATGTACACTGTACCAATTAAGATAGGAGGCTGTCCTGCAGATTAGTAACAAATGTAATTGAATTAGTCTAAAAAGATGCAGGTGTTTTGTTTTAAGGAGTATAAATCAAGTTCTCCTTACAGTAAAAAGACATAGTAAAGACAGCCCAGAAATAAGTAGTTTCCCATGAAGGGGAGACTTGAGACTTGTATTGTGAAATTGATGTAGAGGAAATTCCAGGAAGAATAGTGATTCTAAGTTCTGTTAAGCTGGAGACTGGTTGCCCTCCTAGAAGACAATCTTACTATTTAGCAATTTCAGTCATGAGTATGTTCTCAGAATGACATGCAGTGGTTGAAGTGTCTAATGTTTCATACATTCTCTCTCATAAAATAAATTCAGAAGTAATGCATAGTTAATGAATTACATAAGCCTGTTTTTTTTTATTATTATTGCTAGTTCATTGTTGACTTCAAGAGTTTTCCTCTATCTTCCTTTTTCTTCCAGGTTGCTTTTGTTGTTCTAGCATTTTTGGCAGCTATGTTTTGTTCTTACCCCAATCCAAATCAGGATGTGTGCCCTGGAAACTATACTCACCCACTTAAAGTACAGACTGTCATAATCATTGCAAAAGTAATTCTGTGGATTCTGCATGTTTTTTTTGAACGATACATCCAGCACCACCACAGTAAAGTCAGAAGCAGAGGTTACTTCTCAATATACCGGTCAACAAGACATCTGAAAAGGCTTCCACTGCTGATACACTCCACAGGTGAAGTAGACTTGCTTTCCTGTTTTTTCTTACAAAGTTTTAAACTATGATGACACAATAAAAAAACTGAACCATTTATGTATAATGTATGTCATATATTATGAACTTATTAAAAGGTGCCTATGAGCATGTACAAATTATATTTATTTTAGATAGATGTACCTCCTGACTGACCTTTCTGACTTGCCAGATGCATATTGTAAAGAACTCTTTGTAGTGGAAAAATGCCCACAAGTGAGAAGTTGAGTAAAACATCCAGTCTTTTACATCTAGTCTTTAGCCATAAAATGTTCAGCCAGTAAGATGAGTGTTCAGATTCTAGTGATCTTGATTTGCGTACTCATATGTCTAGTTGGATATGTGACAAGATGGCTAGTCCTTTCAAGAATTGTGCTGTTTTTTCCATTTCAGGCTTAGCAATTCAAGTAGAAACAGATTAATTGCCTGTTACTGTGTCTGAAATTGGTAAAATAAGCAATTTTCACATCTTCAGTGAGGCTATTTGTAGCATTCAGCGCTACTTATGACTGCCTTTTTCTACCTTTTATGGACAAAAAGTGTTGTATGGGAGTCATTTAATGATATGTTCTAAGCTTCATCACTGGCCAGTGAAGCTTAAAGATGTATTGGTGCAATTAGCTAGTGTAGCTTTTCTTAAAAAATTACAACTAAAAGCATCTAGCTTGAGGGGGTTTTCGCAAAAAGAGCAGAGGAGAAGGGAACAGTGGTGGCTTTTACAGTATTTTTGCCTCTTATAATCCCACTTCCCTTCTATAAATCTTCTTAATAACTGGACTCGACATTTTCCCACCAGAATTGATAAGTTAGATTATCCTACCTTATATAAAAACCTAGCTTTCTGTCCATCCAGTCACTTAAAAATCTTGTCAGCTTCACGAGTGTGTAAAACTTCAGGCTATGGCCACTAGATAGAGCTCTGAAGATAAAGATGTGTTTCGAGTGCAGTGACAATCGGGCTACAGCAGGTTTAAGGTGTTTCAAAAAGGAGTAAAAGGACTGTTTCTGCCTGTTGCAATGTAATCTAAATCTCTTAGGCTTGTCTTTGGTTTTAGAGGCCAGCTCTCCCCTACCAGACAAACTCTGGGCCTGCGTAGAAGCTGAAGTGATGTAAATCGTCTGTAGTTCAGAAGGTGATCAGCTCCATTACTGCAAACTCGCTCCTCATACCATTTCCATCCTGACAGTTCTGTTGCCTAACACAGTATGGAAGAAGATTGTAGAGCTCCCTAGCTTAATGTATGGACTTAGTATTATCTAAGTACTGGTTATGGCATTTCTACAGGATAGAAAATAACATTTCACATGCTGTATGAGAGGAGAAGAGGGTGTGTAAATTAAGAATGCTTTTAGGTCTAACTCAAAACTTGACTAATTGTGCTCATTTCACTTAAACTTTCAGTGCCTTGTGACTTGCAAGTATTAAAGTAATACTCGGGCAACTGGAGGCCTATGCAAATATCAGCTTATGAAAGGAATATGTTTGGGTTTTTTTGCTCTGTTAGCCTCACTGAAATACATTAAAATTCACCACTTAGGACCATTTAGGAATTGAAATAAATTAATAGTCTCTAAGCAGTTTTGGGGATGGATACTGGCAACAAGGGTAGAAGCTGTTTATACCTGACATATAGACTGGGTATTTCAAGTCCATTGCTTCCACTCTTGTTTGCAAATCTGTAAGAAAACTAGTAATTCTCTACTGTTATGGTTACATGTTGAACTGAAGCCTCATTTTGCTGCCAGCAGCAAACTTTCATCACCTGTGTTAAGGAAATGGGCCAATGTTGCAGCCTAGTGCAGACACTGGAGATGAAAGATTTAATAAATTATTTTCAACAGCTAGTGAAATTGTTACACCTGTGAACTATAACATTTGTTTTCCAGGTAATGCAGCCCTGCTTTTGATTCTGTCAGTGCAACATTCCTTTCCTGGTCACAGTAGAGTGTACCTGTATCTTATCCTGGGAGTCCTGGGCCTGGAGCTGATTAGCTCCCTGACATGCTTAGTGATTTACACAGGTGAGAGTGGTAAATTTTGCCTTTTTGAGTGAGTCTTGTTATAGTTGCTACTCTGTTGTTTGGTTGCCCTCTCAGTAGCTCACTTGCGGGTACCCAGAGACATTTAACTGTGGCTATAAATACAGAATGATGCTGTGCTTGTAGGAAGAACTGAGCCAAATCCAAAATAAATGGGAAGGCTGTCAGGCTGGATTTGGTCTCTCTAGTGCTGCTAAATGAAAGATCTGTGTTACCTCAAAGATGTTGATCCAATTAAGTGGCAATAAATGTGTAATTGTTGCAAAACTGTCCTGTGAGCACACTTGTCTGTTTAGCAGTGTGTTCTAAAATGTGTGCTTCACAAACTGAAGCAGGAAGAGCTAGCTGGCTTCATCAGAACTGCTTCTGGGACATACATGTGGGACTTGTGTAATGGATAGTATGATGTGCCTTACTTTCCAGACTTTGTTTCTTTGTTCCGCCCCAAAAGCTTCAGTGCCTCTTTGTCACAAAAATGAAAGATTCCCTCTAATGAATGTTAAAATGCAGCTCTTGGAATCTGTGCTTATACTGAAATAAAACTGCTTAATAAAATTGTGAAGCATTGCTTTGTACTATCACCACTGGCTTGTAAGGTTATTTGCTTTTAGATTTGGTGTAACTCACCAAGACTTGACAAACCTATTTCCATTAAACTATTGCAGGACTGTCTAAAATGTTGATTAATCAAAAGCTCAAACCAAAGTTTTTTTAAACCCAAATAGTTTTTAAGATGAGATGAATGGCTTGCATTGACTCAAAGTAACTGTTTACAAAAAAACAACACAACACTGAAAAGGTACAAGACACTGAAAAATGTTTTTGTTTGAAGAAAACCAGCTTACTGTGGAGTTCATGTGTGTTTAAATGATACGTATTTCTGGTTCTTGAGTTCATACTCCTACTTCTGAGATGCTGCTTTCTGATTATTAACAGCTACAAGCAAGGAGATGATACCTTAGCTAAGTAGCCTCAGCAGCACTGGTTTCTTGGAGGACAGGAAAAAAACCAATGTCAAAAAATTGTTTGCTCCCAACTTCTAATCAAACAAAAGGGAGGGGTGTGGAAATAGCCCTCTTGAGGACTGTATGAAGCTTGAAAAGTAGAAGTGGTTTTGATGGTGTTTGGTACTTGTGTTAATCTGATTTCTTTTATGGTTTCATCCTAGATTAATTACTAATTGTGTCTTTTCTTTGGAGAAGAAAAGTTTGGTATGTTCTTAGTAATGTAATTGCTCTTTTCTTTGGAGAAGAAAAGTTTGGTATGTAATTGGACATGGAGAATTACTGCCAAGTAGTGTGGGCATCTAGCAAATAAAATATATTCTTGACTCTCCTGCAACAACATTAAAATCCAAATGCCATAAGAAATAAATCCCAGCTCTAAATCCTCTTAGAACTGTGCAGGCAGTAGGCTCGTCAGGCTTTCCTCTGAATGGACCAGCATGGCTCAAATAGACTAGCTGTCCTGAGAAGGAATAAAGGCAATGGTGATGAACACAAGCACGGCAGTCCTAGAGAACTATTCCAAGAATGCTGGAGATCATCCCTGCTTTGCATGTGCATACTTACATTCCTTTGAAACTCAGGAAATAAGAGATAAATTTCGGAACTTTAATAGAACATCAGGAATTCAGTGAAATGTTATTTCTTATCCTGAGGCCTCTTGGAGCTCAAAGAGCTATATTGTGTGTCTCTTACCCTGGCCAGAAAAAGATAAGCAGCTGCAAGAACATTGACCTTTTTGGTAATGAGGTCTGAGGATTTCTGTAAGAGCACTCAAACTATCTTTCTGCTTATTTGTCACCAAAAGGGTCTTGTTTCCTAGCCTTTACTTTGCTGGTTTCTGTATCCATCAAATCATTAACCAATTCATACTAGGAAGTTGTAGGGTGCAGTGCTTTGCTTTCCAGTGAAGGAGGCTTGAAGGGTACAGTGAGTGCTAGAACCAAAGTGAAGGAGGGACAGAGCTGCGTTACTAGGAAGGGTTAAGGCAGTGTCTTTTCATAATAGCTACCTTCTTTCCTCAGCAGCCTCCCAAAAACAGTCTAAGCTTCATTCTCACACAGCTTAGTGTGCAAAAGTAGAGTTAATTTTCATGTAACATAACGCTTGCTTTAAGGTGGGGAAGACCTCCAGTCATCCAAGTTGCATTTTCCAGTGGATAGTGTGACTTGTTGTTTTCTGCCTGAATACATGCTGATGTAAGCTAAGAAACTGTCTGCATGTCTCTTGTGTGTAGTGGTGGTTTTTTAATATTTTCAGCATTAAACTAAAGCTCTACTGAAGCAGAACAAATGTATTTGGTCAGGTTTGAAAGTAGCCTGAGAATCTGTAATAATAGTGACATTCAGGTAATGTGTTGTGTTTGATTTTTTTTGCTTAAAACAGAGTATGTGACTGAAATAGTGAAGTTTCTTTAGCAGAAAAAAGGCAATCCTCTGCTCAGGGCTAGAGTGCCCTTCTCCAAGGCAAGCACTTGGCAGAAACCAATTACTGTTAAGACAGTATCAGATAATGTAGCTGAGGAACAATGGGGAGATTAGGGTCACTTTACACTAGCAACTCATTATCAGCCTTTGTGAGTATATTACTCCTAAATTTTGGAGGGAAGGTAGCACCAGTTCATACATTGTTTCTCCACTGTGGAATAATTATTTCTTAACTACTAGAATGAAGTCTAAATACTTACGTGTAGAAGGTTCACTTGCCTGACTTATTTTCATTTGAATATTATTGCCTTACAAATGAAAGCTGTGGCATGGAATACCTGACTGTAGTTCTAGATCTTGCTTGGTGGAGCTATTTCATTGATTGTATGATGCCCAATGTCCTGTGAAGTATAACTGCCTTACTAAAAAAATCTATTCAGCAGTGTATGTATACATAGCTGTAGGATGCAAAGGCAGGAATTAAAAAATCTACAAGGAATTACTGTGATTTACCTATAACAGACTGTATGTATACAATTGTTCACTTTATGTATATCATAGTTTGAGGTAAATGTGCATGATACAGCTCTAAATGTTAGGTTACTGTTGTAAGTTTGTTATTAATAGGTTAGGCAGTCAAGCTTTAAAAGGTTACTAAATATATGTCTTTAATGACTTTCTTACATACTTGTAATATCACTTAAAGAAAAGACTAACATTCCCACAAAGAGCACATGTTGGGAATTCCACATCCATTCCTTTGTGGCTTTATTTGTACAGGAACGCAGTCATAGAAATAACTAACCTTTGAGCCTAACTTGTAGTTAACCTCTGGAGGGTCTTAGCATTGTTTTAGCAGGGTGGCCTGTAATAAACCCCATCATATTATTGACTTTTAAGGATAGTCTTTTTCTGCTGCAGCAGTTTAGTTTTCTCACAGAGGACTGTAGTGTTTTTAGTGACATTAGAAGTACTACTTCATGAGCAACCCTAACTAGAGAGTCCAGAACCCACACTCTGGATCTCTCTCATTCCTGTGATCAGGGTCTGATATTGAGTAGTTTTGAGTCTTCAGCTTCCTTGCAGAAATAATGCAGAGGATGTCTACAGCTTCTCCTATTCTATATCTGTTTAAATGCAAGATTAAATTTTATTCATAAGTGCCCAGGAATGATGTATGGCTTTGACAGCTGACATTGCAAGGTTTACAATGTGACACTGATCACAGAGGCATTCTGGTTTGAATATTTAATGGCTTTCTGTAACAAATCTGCCCTAGTTCTAGAGCAGGCAAGCTGCTGCTTCATTGCAGGTAGTCTAGTTAAACTATTTCTTTATCAAGGAGCCTAAATGACAATTTCTAACCTTGATGCTGGTATAAAAACTTCAGGTTTTTATGGCATGCTGCTTAATCTATGGCCTGAACTTAGAGACTAAATCTTGGTACCCTTGAAAAGGCAGCTATGGTTTGTCTTTCTCTTAGGTGACTGACTAAAATTTGCAGATGTTAAGCAGGATGTCCAATCTTGTCCATTCGTGTCTTCACTTCACTCTGGTCTTTTAAGCAGCAGGGCTGAAGGAAAAAAAAACCCACACAAAACCAAAGAAAACACAACACCCTACCACTAACTTATAATCAAAGCCATTCAAGAAATGAGCAGAGATTCTGCTTTTCTTCCTCCCTGGTTCCCAGATTCCCTTATCTTTCCATCTTCTAACCTAAGACAATCTTACATGTTACAGTTTTTTGTTTTCAACTTGGAACCTGGTGATAAAGCTTCTCTCATTTTTGTTGCTTTCCAACTGTTTTATAAAATTTTGTTGCAGTGAAAATAAGTAACTTCAATCGTGCAAAGCCAAGACCTGATATAATAGAAGAAGAAAAGATGTATGCCTACCCTACTCATATTACCTCAGAAATTGGATTCAGGTAAGACTTTCTGTATTAATCTTATGTTGTGTCTGGTCATGGTGTATAGGCAACACTGACAAATGTAATTGCATTACTTCCTTTAGGCGTAGGTATAATCTTAAATCTGTCAAACAAAACTGTGATGGGAGTAATAGTTTTGAAGGAAACTGTATGCTTAAGGCTGGTATTTTACATGCACATGTGAGAAGTAGCACAATCTTGTACTTCATACATAGTAATGGCAATTTGTTATGATACAGAAATCCTCAACCATGATGACAGGAATGAATTTACCATTTGTGGATGGTTGCATGAATCTTTAATGTGCTATAAATAACTGTGGTAAATCTGTTAGTTGACTATACATGGGAGATACCAGTGTCTTACACTGTTACTTAAAACATGCTTACAGAAGCCTGGCTCCTTCCACTGGCTTCAGGCAAGGAAATATATTGTGGACAGTTGATAAATGAAGAATAAAACATGCTAGCAGTTGGACATGACATTCTAGCAAGGGATTTGGAATATATTTTACAGTTTGGGGAAAAAAAAATGTGAAGGTGCGTGGGTTACTTGAAAGGTAAGGAAGTTCTGAGTGAGACAGAGAAGCTATCCAATATTAACCTCACAAACACGGAGGCTTACTGCTTGTCTGTCCTTTGTGGACCTTCTGACTGCTTGAACATCCCAGCTGCTAAAGTCTGGTATGACATAACAAAAACCAATCCTCAAACATGGATTTCCATATAAGAATTTATTTAGATTTTTTCTGATGTGATAAGTCCTGCTTCTTTCTGTACGGACACCTTAGTAAAAAGTTAAGTGCAGAGATGACTAATACTTCGGCACTTCCCCTGCTGTCACAAATACAGCATGCATATGCTTTTATGGAGCTTGGAAGTAGATGTCCAGGATACAGGAAGGATTTAAAGTTGTCTTGAATTTTGATACAATGTCTGACTTCCACATTGACATGAACACTATGGGGAATGCATGGTAGACCTCATTCCTTTCTCATTCAGCTTCTCCCCTGAGAAATTTCAAATGCCCAGAGAATAAGTTTGCAACAATGACCAGCTGAGGAAAAGACTGATTATTTTTGATTAAATAGTGCAAACTTCCTGTGAGAACCGATTGCAAAACAGTTGTTTTTAATTCAGCTCTATACAACTCTGACTCTCTTTCC